GAGGCATGTTGTCATGTTGCAGCAAAATGTCTTTCTTCATATTCCAAATTCTGCTTAACTGTGTTTCAAATGTTTTGAGTGTTGTAATGAGAGGGCTTCTACACTTAAGGAAATCCATGTCAATAATCCTGCATTGGAATCACACCCAAGCTGTAACCATGATGTTTGTCATGCTCCTGTTGGAATCTGATTCCGAGGGTGAGGCCAAGCAGCTGACAGGGAGTAGGAGTGTGGCTCAGGTGGCTGTGGAAGAAACTGGGGAAGGGCACAGTCAGGCTGAGCATTCAGAGGAAGACCCAGGGCCACCCCCTCTTCATCCTAGGGCATGCAGGGAGGAATGGAGAAGGGAGCAATGTGAGTTACGGGGGTTATGGGGGAGAAAAGGGTCCTGATTCCCTTCATTAGTTGCAGCTGGGAAAACAGGATTTAAAAAGGGCGTTTGCACACAGCACCTTGCTGGAAGCAACGCGTGAATTATCTTTGTTTGTCAAGTCTTATCTAGGTTCTGGTGTCCTCCCAACTCTGTGTGTTTCGTTATCTTTTGAAGTCTGCAATTCCTTATTTTGCCCTGTCGTTAATTGCTGCAGTGTGATTTGTGTTGGTTTTTATTTATAATTTATACGTACTTTGGGTTCGGACTGAATTTCTTCCCTTTAAAAACTGTTCTTGGGAGAGTTGTTTCTCCAGCCGATGATAACTGGACATTGAGGGCCAAGTTGGAGGTATTAAAGGGACTTTATCTACTTTTGTGACTTTGTAGCTTTTGTGCCATGCCCCGGGTCATCACAACATTGCAAAAAAAAAAAATCCTCCCCTTCACCTTCTGGCAGGACAGCAATTGATAGCAAATTTCAACTCTTGTCATTTTGTCACTATGCAATGAACCCATCTTGTGCAAACTTACCAATACTGAAAAACATCCATAATGTGACCACATGTTCCTGTGAAATGCCAAGCTTGATGGCAATTTCCCTTTGAATGAGCTACCAATTGTCCTTAAACATGAAACTCATCAGTTGCTGTCACAGGTCATCCACTTCATTCTTGATCACACAAATCAGTTCTGCTCCGTTCACCATTATTATCCATTTGGGCCTATTAATGTACAATATTCACATCAGCAGGCTCATCACTATAAATAATCTATGTTTGGCAGTGAATTTCACTTGGAAGGACTCCTTCAGCAGTCAAAAATTTTACACATTGCTTAAAGTGCATGAATGAGAAGTCACTGCACAGTTATGTTTCACAAAAAATAACAGTATAACCATTTCTCATAGCAACTTTCTGCCAACTAAATGGAAAAACAGATGCTGAAAACTATACCAGCACAATTTAGAACAATGGAGATGTTAGTCTTCATTCAGCCCTATTTAAAATTAACGATTATGTTATGACAACAGAGGTAGAGAATAGTTGAATAATTTCTTTTAAAAAACAGGTTGCATCTTCCAATCTTCATCCATATAACATCAGAGAGACCCACACTCTTTATAATTAGAGACAATACACAAGAAAGATAAGTCTGTGTGGTTGATGTACAGGCCTGACCCCCAAAAGTAGCAAACTCACTGCAAAAACAGAAAATAAAACAGTTTTTCTAGGGCAATTAGGAGTTAGGTTTCCCTCTAAGTTAACAGCAAATACTTTGCTAACCTAATTGTTAAGTTTGGAGAATAATGGAGACCACACATCTGACCAGTGACTTCAACTCTTTAATAACAGTAGATAGAACAG